AGCTCGTCTGCCAGAGTCACGGCCGCGTTCGTCATACCGGTTGTTGGTGCTTTATAGTCCGTTATTGTCCTTAGTCCCCGCCACAGGCTCCTAGAGTCACTCTGTTGGAGTTGTGACTCTAGTTTCCTCCCGTAGCGCTGCTTCGCCTCTTTCACCGCCCTCCGCACGTTATATGACGCGGCTTTGTACGGGTCCATGTCCCCCGTCATGAGTCCCGTGTTGTAGGCAGCGGTGCGGGATCTCAGAGCGTTGCGGATGGTTTTATCCACCCACGGCTTCTGGTTGGGAAACGTTGTGATAGTCTTTGTCTCCACGGTATCATCCGCTAGTTTCCCGATGAATCCCACATCTGAATCTGTCTCATGCTGGGACCTACTACTGTGCTGTTGACTCATGTGGACACATAGTGTTTGGAAACGGGACCAAGCTGGACTTTGAAAGTAAGTACATTCAGGAAGAACATCTACTCCCACTCTAAATTTATACAGCTGAACGCAATTTTATTTCTCCTCCTTTATCTGCAGATAACATGGACTCCTTTGTCTTGAAAGGAGCTGTTGCATTCATGACCGTTCTGACTATATCACTGGTTTCCACTTTGCGTGTGATCATCAAGATAAACAGCTGCTGCTGCCCAGAATGTCATCCAAGCTTTTCAAATTTCTCCATGAAACACAAAGAGGTAACTCTTAGGTTAAAAAACAACTTTGTTTCATAAGTCACAACAGATTATGAATATGTGAATGTTAGAAACTATAACACTTGAACATCGAAAAAAGGTGCTTGTGTGAATGGGTAAGTGAGGCATGTTGTACAAAAAGCGCTCTGAGCTGCATTTACCATCGAATGTGTAATTCAATCTTTGTACTTTGTTGTTACCAGGAGAACAAGAGCAAGACTGGTGACTTCTGGAGTGAATGTGTGTACTTCAGCTTCAAGCAGTAAAACTGAAAATGTTTCATCTTTGTTTCTTTATAACAGAGCAGAACCTCATATTTTCACTTTTTAAAGTTTATCATGACTTTTCTAAAGTTTTATTTTTTAAGATTTCAGCTAAATGTGATGACTTTAGATTGCTGCTTTTCAATAAAACTCTTAAACAATTCATACAAGTGTGTTTGCAGTTCATATTTACCTCAGGATTTCTGATACTGACAGAAAAAATAAAAAACTTCTGAAATAAACTGGGTGCAATTGTATTACTCAAGAAAGTGTTTGCAGCTCTACCAGCTCCACTGCAGAATTAGAAATGTTTCGGAAAAAATTCTCCTGTCCACAAAATAGTGTTGGGGGCCAAACTACACAAAACAGGTGAGGAGGGCAGAAAGAAGGACACAGGAAAGTCTTAGAGAATATTTCAAATTATAGACCACATGCAGACAAGACCATCAGCTTCTTAAAAACTCCTGATTTGATTTGATAGAACAAAACTGTGTCAGAGACTAAAGTCACTGATATGAAAAGGTTGCTTTTTCACATCATTAGACATATGAGTACCATTCACTAATAGCAATCACATTTGCCATGGGTAGTTTCCAGACGCATCAAAACAAGTTTGTTTTTCCACTGTGGTTAGAGCATGCGGCAGACCTCAGTGTACCTCTGTTGCTAAAAGTCAGGATCCCGACTTCACTTCAGAAACTTCGACAGAAAAGCTGAGCAAGCAAGCCGGCTTTCTTGTCCTACTTTGTTGGTTTCAGTGGGTTTATGAAAATACAGATTCACGGGAGCTTCGCTTTTGTGCCACCTTACCTCGCTCCAGCTTCTTCACTGTACTTCTCTGCTAAAATGACTAATGCTCTATTGCTAACAAGTCCTTTCTTTTAAATGACTTGTTCTGTCGTGAGAAGTTGGATTTTATTTTTATCTCTAAGATGTGGCAGCGTGAGAATGAAGTTGCACATCTTTTAGGACTGTGTCCTGGAGACGGTTCATTTTGAGGCAGAACTGCTGTTATTTTTAAAAATACATTTTTATGCCACACTGTTCTCAGAAGCTCTTATATCAATTTTGGGATGATAATGACTAAAATCGGAAGCAATGAGCTTTTGTAAAGTGTTTTAATATTGTCCATCTGGGTCTGCTACCTCTTTTCTCTCACATTTTCAAGAACCTTTATGTTCCACAATTAAACTAGGCAGGATCATTACTGTTGGAGCATGGAAAATGTGCGGATTGGAAAAAATGGATTATCTGTTGCATGAACTGCTAAGCTAACAATATATACAGTAACTTTTAATAACGAGCCTCCACTGTGTGTTTTACCTTGAATGCACAGAAAGCTGCCAGAAAAAGACTACTTGATGTTTGCCAGATGTGAAGTGGTCATCGTGCTGTTACTATGCATGTCCATACAGATTCATACAAATTTTAGACTTTCAAAGAATTCAGTTCCTGATCGCAATACCTTACAATGGAAAGTGAGAACACTGAGAAGCTCATTGGAGCCTCTCTACCTTCCATCACAGACACTTATTGCACCGGCTGCATCCGCAAAGCAAGACTTTTTGCACAATACTCAGTCTTTTGCACATTTCTACTGCACTGTTGTGTCTGTATCACGTGGTTTTGCACTGTCTTTGTTTTGGTTTTTTTGCGATTTTTGCAGATTGCACTTTATGCAGTCCTGTGTTGATTGTCTGTTATATGTCATATGTAGCATCATGGTGTTGGAGAAACATCGTCTTGTTTCACTGAGACCTGCTAACCGCCTTAACATTCTTTTGTTTTCTTCTGTTAGTGTGGCAGATGTGTGTGTGTGTGTGTGTGTGTGTGTGTGGGGGGGGGGGGGGGGGGGGGGGGCTTCACTGGAGGTGTGAGTAAACTCGTGACATTTTCTATATGGGCGCATGATTAGCTAACTATCTTGTGTAAAGATTTAATGGCAGTAAAATTTATTTTCTTTCAACACAGCAACACAGTGACATTGCCAGGCATAAATCTGAAATGTTTTATCTTTGGCAATATAGGTATGTTATGACTAGCGCTGACAATAAATAAAAAAAAATAACTAATGAATCTCACAATTTTCTATCATTAATTGCAAATAACTGCAATTACTTGATCAATAGCCTGGCTGCAATTACACTTTTTCAACTTTATACTTAAGCTTGTAACTGACATTCATGCAATACAGTGGCTTGCAAAAGTATTTGGAACTTCTGAACTTTTCCACATTTTGTCACATTACAGCCACAAACATGAATCAATTTTATTGGAATTCCACGTGAAAGACCAACACAAAGTGGTGTACACGTGAGAAGTGGGATGAAAATCATACATGATTCTAAACGTGAAAAAGTTCAAGGGGGGCGAATACTTTTGCAAGCCATTGTATAATGCAGTACATGGAGAATAAACACAAAGAATGTATGCTTAAATTCAAAGAGAATTTGAATAATTTTCTTTAATCTTTTAACACAGGTTATCTCCTGTGAAATACAACTTTTAAAAAAACTTATATACTAATAGGTAATAGGCATAATATATATTAGTGCTGTCAAACAATTACAATTTTTTAACAGCTCCATCACTGGGTTACTGTGGATTAATTTTGATTAATCACGATTAAATATCATTTAATTTTTATTCTATATTAATCACATTTCATTTTGCATGAGTAAACAGACTAAAGAAAAAAGGTAAAATATACGCACTAAACATGTTTATTGAACATCTAGAACATTCATGTTAACAAAAAACTCTGTAAACATTTATCCTCTCCCTCTGTCACTCTTGGAGCCACTTCTAGTCCAAGAAAGCATCCTAGAAAAGTCCTAGAAATGTGGAACCAAAGATATGTAAAGTGCGTGTTCTCAACAAAATTAACATGGATGCAGTTTGTCGCAATCCACTTGGCAATTGTATCAGTCAACATGTCTGAGGTACTTATTGAGCCCCCAATGCTCCGTGAGTGGTTTGTTGCAAGCTGGGTGACGCCTTAGCCAAAGTCCTAGCAGCATGCCCGACTAAAGTATGCTTCGCATCAATGGGATATTTTAAGCTGGAAGTGCTTTGGTGAAAAGAAAAATCCTTCTTACACAATGTGCGTAATACTTTAAACCGGTCGACCGTTCAGTCTTGTTTTTTAATACTCAAATTTCCCATCGAGAGGGCCAATGTGCATTTATCATCTTCCATATTGAGTTGATTGGTTCACCTGCCCGTCACTACCACTACTATCGTGGCTCAAGAGTTGGGAGTTCGCCTTGTAATCGGAAGGTTGCCGGTTCGAGCCCCGGCTTGGACAGTCTCGGTCGTTGTCTCCTTGGGTAAGATCCTTCACCCGTTGCTTACCGGTGGTGTTCAGGGGGCCCGGTGGCATTAGTGACCGGCAGCCTCTCCTCTGTCAGTGCACCCCCAGGGTGGCTGTGGCTACAATGTAGCTTGCCATCACCAGTGTGTGAATGGGTGGATGACTGGATGTGTAAAGTGCTTTGGGGTCCTTAGCGACTAGTAAAGTGCTATACAAATACAGGCCATTTACCAGATCAGCTGCCCATTTGCGCATGTGCATAGGTAACTCTACTTGGACAAACTGTCCAAAACGCGTTGACATAAACACTTGAGGGATTTCGAGTCATTCTGCACTCTAAATGCGTTAATAGTGTTAACATTTTTCATGATGACGGCTTAATCTGTGTTAACGCATTAATTTTGACAGCACTAGCTATGACTTACACACACACAAACACACAGTTGTGGTCATAGTTTATACAGCTCTTGTCCTCAACCTCAAACATTTGAGGACTATGACAAAAAGGCTTGAAAAAAAGGTGCATGGATACTATCCAATGTAAATAAACTATATTATGTGTGAGCGCTCAAATATCCAAACAGAATTATGCCTGTCTGTCTGAGCTTAACAGTATCAGAAGGGCATCATCAAGTTTTTTTTTATAAAAAGCATATCGTGTCAATTCTAGTTATCCAGTCAGTCTTAGTTTTAAAGCGAAAAAAGTATTAAGGATTTCTTCATATAGCACAGCAGTTTGAGTAAAATGACATCTGCACGATTTGCCTTCTGATATGTTTCTTCTTGGCTGTTGTCAGGGTGTGCTGTGTGGCAGGCAGGAGATTGGACCCAAATACACGACTCGGTAACAAAGGATAGAACTTAGGGTGCAGCTTTATTGCCGGATGATGATCTTCATGGAAATAAACACTTAAAAAAATAAACCAAAACCTCAAGTGTGAAACATAAACTAAACTGGCACTGGAAACTAGACACAAGGAAGCACAGACTTGAAACACAGCACAAAAAGAGGGTATGAAGAATAATGACGTGAGAACAGGCTATGAATGACGGAGGACTGAAATACACCACAGAGTAATCAGGGAAACCTGAGAAAAACAAACCCGAAGTGAGAGCAAGGATATTTCCTGGAACACGAGGGGGGAAAACACAGCACGGACAGAGTGTACGACGCGACAACAGACTGAGGACTAAACTACACAGGCAGGATAACGAGAGGATGGGGAACAGGTGGAAACATGGCGGGGACTAATCAGATGTAAAGAGACGCAGGAAGCAAAGCAGACTCCACTGACAGAGGACAAAGACTATCAAAATAAAAACAGGAAACACACAGACTGACAAGATGCGTACACTTAACACAGTAACATATTCTATGAGAAGGTGTGAAGTGGTTATACTGCATTTAACCCATACATTCTAATTTTATGTAACACATAAACTTTTAGATCAGAAGTTTATACCACTTGTTGTATGAGCACTTGTTGATGCATACCGCTTGTTTTGAGATTTAATGATTAGGATTATTAATATGTAACCTTTAATTATGTTATTGCTTACTGTGACAAGAGATGGGCAGAGTACAGTAACATGTTACTGTAATCTGATTACTTTTTTCAAGTAACGAGGATATTAAGGGATTAGAAAAGGTAATTGGATTACCGTTACTTTCCCGTAAGCACGCTGCGTTACTATGTTACTAATACCGTGATTTTCTTGTGAGAGTGTCTCATGACAATGATGTAAGCGAGTGCGACGTTCGTGGCAACAGCTGTGTGCAGATCAACAATGGACAATATATCGAGTGTGGGAGAGAGTATGATAGTGCAACTTTTAAAGCGTGGAAGTACTGAGTTTGATTCCGTAAAAAGTGACAAAAACATTAGCGTAGGGCTGCTCAATTAATCGAATTTTAATCACGATTACGATCTGGGCTTTCAACGATCATTAAAAATGACTGAGCCGATGATTAGCCCCTCCCTCATTTATCCGCGACACCTTAAAGGCCGGTCCGTGAAAATATTGTCGGGCATAAACCGGTCCGTGGCGCAAAAAAGGTTGGAGACCGCTGATTAAGAGGACCCGAGGGAAGCTCGGAAAGCTAAGCAGAAGTTATTTGGAGAGGAGAGTGACTGCCGTTGGTTGAAAAGAGAGGTAAAAAAAACTTCAGTGGTGCTGCACACTATTTTATATTATTTTTTAAAGTCATTGTTAACCCTTTAAAGCCGGTCAGAGCAGTACGCTCCGTTTTGTGTAACTATTATTAAATCCCTGTAGAACCTGAACCGTGTAAGCTAGCGCAATAATTTGTTTTGCATATGAAACCGGAGGAAAAATGACAAAACATTAGTGTCCGTTGTGCGTGGGAAGAAAACTTATTTTTACAGCGAAAAAAACCCTAAACAAGCTCCGAGTGCACAACGACGTAATGGGAAATTCACAGACAAACTTGCGGATTCTTCCACTGACCGCTGCGGCACACCTGCACCAGGGCAAACCTCCGCCTAATATACTCCGCCGGTGAAAATAGAGCAACAGGACCGCTGAGTCTTTGATTTTATTTATTTTCTGCTGTGTTTTACTTGCATTTATTTGAAAAAGTGTAAACACAAAAACCTATTTTATGTTATGTGCTGGAATGTACAGAAAATAGGTTTAAATATTAAACAAATTTCTTCCAGTCAGAGAATGTTGCATATAATTAAATTTTTGCTTGATGCATGAAGTTAAAAGATTAAAACTAATAAAACAAGTTTTAAAAAGAGACTTTTTCCATTTGAATACATTTTATGTGTTGAATTGTGCAGAAAAAGTAGAATTGGGCTGAAAGATCTATCGCTTTATCACCTATTCAGGTTGTAAATCATGTTTTTAAAAAGTAACTAGGTAATTAATTCCTTTTAAAAATAAGTAATCAGTAAAGTAACAGGATTACATTTGGGGGGAGTAATCAGTAATTAGTTACTGATTACTTTTTTCAAGTAACTTGACCAACACTGATTGTGACAAAACAAGACAGAGGGTTAGCCAGAGTTAGCCCATCAGAAGATGCACCTGGCCTTGCACCTGTTGAAAGTCTAAACTTTAATGACACGTTGATTGTTTAATTTAAAGGTTCTAATATAAAAACAGCCAATACTGAACATCATATCTAAAAAAGAAAATGAAGCTTAGTAAAAGTATGCTGCAAAAAAATATGTAATGAAATGGTTAAGAAACACAGGTCCTCGAAAATGCAGTAACCTGCTGTCCCTTACTGAGCTATATACCTTCTTTTACCATCATTTATGTTGTTTCCTAACAGTCCAGACACTGAGCTTAACATATAGACGTCAGTTGACACGTGATCAAACTCCCTAAATAGGACATGCTGTGTCATTTGTGGTTGGCCAGTCAAACACAGTCTTCTTTGAAAAGCAAAGACAGGTTCAAGAATCTTTTCATTCAGCACCAGAGTCTGAACACGATGGCATCTGCGCAGTTTGTCTTCTGACATGTTTGTTCTTGGGGGAAACAGGTGAGTTTTTAAAAACTGCAGTATAAAACTTTTACCATCCTTTCATGTGTCTCAAATGTTCATTTACGTTCTTTCATTTTATTTCAGCTCACACAAATGACCTCAAATTCTCCTTGTCTCTTTATCAAGAAAGACATTTTGTATCAGCTAATACTGGGGACGATGTGACTCTGCGCTGTTTCTATGAAGGTAACGATGTGGCAAGGCTTTACTGGTATAAGTTACATTTGGGAAAGGAATCAAAGCTCATTTGCACTATCACAGTGGACAATCAAGCCATGTTTAATGATGAATTCAAGAGTGATCCACGATTCACAGTGAATTCTGAAAAAGGAAACTGTCACGGCTGCCGAGGCGAACGCAACAGGACCAGCAGGCGCACGGGCCTCTGGCAGGAACGCAACAGAACCAGCAGGCGCACGGGCCTCTGGCAGGAACGCAACAGAACCAGCAGGCGCACGGGCCTCTGGCAAACACATAGCGGCCTGCAGCTGTGCAGAGCATTGACCCTGCTCAGGCAGCGACAGCCGGGTGCAGTCCTCAGCTGGCTTCTTAAACTCCAGGGGTCCAGAGTCTGATGGGGGCTGAAACCCAGCCTCTGGGAAGGCCCTGGAGTGCATCTCAGTCTCAGAACTGGCCAGCCTTTGAGGAATGTTGACATTATCATTAGGTTTGACGCTCTGCTTAGAACAAACGGATGAAACCCAGTTCCTTTTAGATTGATTTGACTGGGCTTGTTGTACCAGAGTAGCAAGTGACACAGGGTGCAGGGCTAGTGGCTGCTGAACAGGAGGCTGAACTGAGGGTGACTGAAACAATGGTTGGGATGACGGCGGTGGTGGAATTGGAGACTGAGCTTGAGGCCGGGCGGCTAACTGAGCTGGAGGCCGGGCGGCTAACTGAGCTGGAGGCCGGGCGGCTAACTGAGCTTGAGGCCGGGCGGCTAACTGAGCTTGAGGCCGGGCGGCTAACTGAGCTTGAGGCCGGGCGGCTAACTGAGCATCCGGTTGCAGTTCAAAAGAATAAACAGTCCTGGTATTATCAGAGCTGGTGTTAATTGTCTCTGGGATATATGCCACAGTTTTAGCAGACCCTGGGTTAGCTGACATGGGTTTAACAGGTTCAGAAGAACAACAGCCCTTTGCTTTCACTGAAGTCTTAAAAATGCCAACCTGGGAGAGATCGGTTATCAGGTAGGTAGGTAAGCTTTGTGAATTAGCTCCCACTGACACACCTCGAACAACCCCAGAAGAAAAAGTCTTACAGTTCAGATTGGAGCCGTTATCCTTTTTACTCACCACAGTCGGCCGCTCTGATACCCTGGGGTCCGACTGTGGCGAGGGGCGTCGACGGCGTGAGTGCCGTTTCCCATTTGAAGGCTGGACCGACGGGCCGGGCAGGACACTCTCCGTCGGGTCGGGGAGTGAAGCATGAGTTGCAGAGTGGGTGGTAGCAGGGGGGAGAAGATGAAGCTCGTTCAGAACGAAATTCTGTGTGAGCGGGTGAAGTGAGCTGAGCAACCAGGGGAGACCAGAAACTAAGCGTTGTAGCCGAACAGCTATGCCTTGGCGGAATTCTCTCCCCTCATGCTCGAGCCATAAGTTAATTAATCTGTCCACCGAGTAAATAATGTCCTCCCGGAGCTCCTCGGGCGGGTTGACTGCTGCTGGGTCCATAGTGGCCGGTTCGTACTGTCACGGCTGCCGAGGTGAGCCGTGTGGAATAAATGAGGATCCAAGCGCAGGCAGTCGTAGAGGAGTGAAGGTGATTTATTGAACACAAAAGAATGTGGACAAACAGCAAACGGGGCTCGAACTAAACTAAACTGGGAAACAACTAAACTACAGAGCACAAACCTGAATGAAAACGAGCAGAGGAGGATGACGATGAACAGCAGGGAGAAGACATGGTGGATACACAGACTGACACTGAGTAATACAGACGAACCGGCAACAGGCAGGAAAACACACAGGGCTTAAATACACACACCAGTAATCAGGGGATGAGAGACAAGACGGCAACACAGCTGGGAGGAATCTGGGCTGACGGGACAGGGGAAACGTAAACTGATCACACTCACATACGACACGGACCTTCACAATAAGACAGGAAACTCAGATACATGGAACCAGACAAGACATTGAACTAAACAGACAGATTCACAAACAGATGGGGAGACACCATAGACAGACAGGTACAGACGCAGACTTAGAGGCAGATCGAAAATAACACAGAACTTAAACAATCATCATCTAGAAAATGATAACAAACTAAAAGCGCTGGGTCACCGACCCAGGACCATGACAGAAACATTGACTTAAAGATAGAAGATCTGGACATTTCAGACTCTGCTACTTACTATTGTGCAAGCAGCTATGGGTACATGTTTGCATTTGCAGAGGGTACTGTCATTGATGTAAAAGGTTCAGGGTCGAACATCCCAACTTTAGTGCAGCAGTCAGCATCTGAGACCATCCAACCAGGAGGCTCTGTGACTCTGAACTGTACAGTACACACTGGGACCTGTGATGAAGAACACAGTGTTTACTGGTTCAGAGACTCTGAAGATTCTTTCCCAAGAATCATTTACACCCATGGAGGCAGGAATGATCAGTGTGAGAGGAAACCCAACACACAAACACACACCTGTGTCTACAACCTGCCAATGAAGAGCCTGCCTCATGCTGGGACCTACTACTGTGCTGTGGCTTCATGTGGACACATACTGTTTGGAAACGGGACCAAGCTGGAGTGTGAGTAACTGTTTTTTTTATATATATTACAATATTACATAGCAGCAAGCTACAGGATCTATAATATTTTGTGGTGTCTGTCCACAGATGAGAGGAACTGTTGTGTCTTTGTGTATTTCTTGAGTGGAGCGTTGGCATTCACCACACTTCTAAATGTTTTAATGGCTTTCATATTGTATGTGACCCACAAGAGAAACAGCACTAAACACGCAGGTACTGCAACCTTTATTGTTATTGACATTATCTAATCATTACTGACAGAGCTTTACAGTAAGAACATTTTATTTGTTCTTTTCAGAGTCTCGTTCAAGAATTTCTCCTGTTTCTTCAGCAGTCGCACAGGTCATTTTTTTGGGGGTTAACATTAAAATGTTAACATAACCAGAACATTTTGGACTCAGTTTGTTTTCATTTTTATTTATTTTGAGCAATTTTAAATAATTTTGCATTTGATATTTTATAATCAGGTTGCTCAAAATGAAGAAAACATCCATTATGCCGCTTTGAGGCACCACAAGGCTGACAGACCAAGAAGACTGAGAAACAACAGCAAGGCTGAATGTGTCTACTCAAGCATAAAGCAATAGAAGTGGATGTGTTTCTTATCTATATCAATACTTTCGATGTCTTGAAAACATTTGCTTTCTGTTTGTCTGTACATATTATGAGCAGGCAAGCTCTGTATTAACCTTAGTTACATTTTTACCAAATACAAAACAGTTTTTGCTTTTAACATAGGTAAGAGTTTTAAATCTGGGCAGGATTCAAAAGTTTGCAGTGCATTTTGAGGTTGAATACACAGAAGTGAAGCCATATTTACCTTTAAATTCATTTTTTTTAATGAAAACTTTTTACTGTAGCAGTTGTAGTGATGAGTGATTAAAACTGTCTATTCTCTTAGACGTAAAACAAGGAAAGTACATGACACAATGTTAACTATGCTGTGCAGAGAATCTGCATTGGGCTGTCTCATATTCATGACTTCAGTTCCATGACAATATTTGAAAAGGCTCATAATTTGTCACTACAAAAGCTAATAAATAACACAGGCTTTTCCAAAATGGCTACTATACACGACTCATATTTCTACCAGCCTGGAAAATAGATGACACACTTTATTATATTTATATAATAATGTTTAGGGGTTTTTCCCCATGGTAACATTGGGCATCGGACACTGATTATACTGGATTTGTATGTGTTCACAAATGGCATTGGGAGCAATTGCTTCATCTGTGGAGTGGATGGACTAGTTTGAAATTAGATGTGTGAGTATTACAAATGCCTATAGATTTTCTCTACGTGACTATCTGCTGATTTCTGGGTTGTCTCTTTAATGAGACGTTCAATAGCTGATCACATAGTAATGTATAATTTGCATAAAGGCAATATTAAACCCGATGAGCTGTTTTGTTCTGCTCTGTTTTTTCCTTGTCTTTTGTCTTTATTTACTTTTTCAAGGAAATTATAAAAAATTCAAATAAAAAAATTTAAAAATACAGTTAAGGAAAAAAAAAATCCTTTCAAACTCTTTTCATAAAGCTGCTAACCACAAATTTTAAGCAAAGATGCTTCCTAAGTTTGAGAGTGTGAATTTAGAAAAAGAAAACTGTTTTGTTGTTTTTTACATTATGCTTTAGAAGTGTAATTTTGTATATATTTGTATATATTTCTCACCATCCAGCCAAGCAGAATGCTTCAATCCTTTACAATTGACACTGCTTTCACTTGATTTAAGCGTCATTTATTTACTTATTTTTTTCCAGGCTTACTGACCTCTAATACAGCTCAGCTTTATATTTATATGGAGGGTCAAAAAACATAGGTTTTTCTTAGAAGATCCCCCATAGACATTTTCAAAACCACAATAATTAATAATCATAACATTTTATTTTTCCACCTCCCGCTATGAAAGTCTTCTTTTTTTAATTTCTGTGAAATTATGAAAACTTTATATTATATAATTACAGCATAGTCTAAGCAATGAGCTGGCAGAAATGGTTGTTTTTCTGGAAGGTTCTCCTTTCTCCACAGAGCAATGCTGGAGCTCTGTCAGAGTGACCATTGGGTTCTTGATCACCTCCTTGACTAAGACCCCAGATAGAATAGAATAATCCTTTAATTGTCCCACAAGGGGAAATTTGGATGTAACAGCAGCCAGAAAGACATATACAAACAAACAGTACACAAGACACAGAACAGAAACATATACATTTTTTTACATATTTACATCAAGGGCAATGGTTACCGAAGACAGAGTACTGTCCCGTTATTAAATTAAATAAAATTAAATACAGAGAAGAAGCAAATCCAGGTTGTAGTGTGAATCGGTTGATGAAATAGTGCAAGTTACAGCGCGGATGTAAACCTCTATGTTTGTTTGGAGCAGTTCAGATTGTACAGTCTGACAGCTGCAGGGAGGAAGGACCTGCAGAAATGCTCCTTCATGCATCTAGGATGTAGCAGTCTGTCACTGAAGCAGCTCTGCAGTTCAGCAACATTTACATGCATGGGGTGGGAGACTCTGTCCATCAGAGATGTTATTTTGGCCAGAGTCCTTCTGTCTCCCACCACCTGCACTGGGTCCAGGGTGCATCCCAGAACAGAGCTGGTCTTCCTGATGAGTTTATCCAACCTCTTCCTCTCAGCTGCTGATAAACTGCTGCTCCAACATACAACACTGTAAAAAATGTAAAAAAAAAAAGTCTGCTCTGACCCTTCCTGTAAAGAGCATCATTGTTGAGGCTCCAGTCCGGTTTCTTATTCAGGTTATTATTATCCGATGCAGTCCTGTCTCAGAGGATTGTCTTCTTGCACATTCTTCTTGTTTCATTGATTCATATAGATTTAGGCCTTTAACAGCTATCAAATAATTCCCCACATCTGAACCTTATTTGTTGTTAAAAGTATAGTCCTGTTGCCTCATTAACTGGGCTACTGATAACAGCCTCATAATATATCTGAGGTTTCTAACCTGTTCGTTTGAAATATTCTTCCTGGTGGTTACTTTTATATAAGCCATTGTGTCACTGGGATCTTCATTGCTGCATTTTTTTCTGTAAACTTCTCCAGACCTGTGCGGGTTCTAACCTTAAACTGAAACATAAATACCAACCACAATCTTATAAAGCAGCAGGTAAAATATTATTGTAAATGACAGAGATTATTTCATGAACAATGCCAAAGATCCTGTTGACTGATTAGAAAACATTCATACACTGTCTGCTAGCTTATATGCCTTTTCAGCTTGTAAGCTACGCTAACAAGTCAACGCCACTTCTATTGCACAACACAGTCTTTTGCACCGCAGCTAGCTGAGTTGAACACATTATATTTTCTTGCTGGTTAATTTTTGCACATTGTCACTGCTGTAGTTTAATGTTTGTCAGTCCTCAGGTCCACACACTGGCCTTGGGCCATGAGCTGTTGTCTGTCTTGCCTGTTAGGAAGAAACACGTTTGCAGATAACTTCTGAAGCAACCTGTAGTACACTAATTTGGTGTTGTTCAAAGGTTGACAGCTATGCAGGCAAGTTTAAATTACTGTACTGTAGTGAGGTTTACAGACATGCACTATACTCAGCTTGTACAGAACAGGGTGGTGTTGATGGTCGCTGTGAGGTTACATCAAGCATAGCAGACATCAATACATATTTAATATAATGAAGCTGATAAAATTCACTCACCAAATTCTGCCTGTTATACTGTCCTTATAGTGTCCAGGGGCTGGAAATCAGCCACAAAGCTTACATAACTGTTATATCTTTATATTTTGTTGAATTTAGATGGCTTAATCAATGAACAGCAGGAAAAGTGCAGCAGCACAGGTCAGTTGATCACAGTCTTTACATGACTAAAAACTACTGGAGATTCCAAAACAACTTAGTATGTGAGCAGTTTGAATCCACTCTTAGTGCTCCTGCACCTGCTGAAACCCACTTTAAAATCATGGAGGCACAGCTGCCAGGGTGGCAGGGACCAGGAGCTGCTCTGCATCTTGTTGCTGTGTCATTTTAAATTGGTCATGTGATGTTGACGCGCCGGCGTGTCCGTCGACCCAGAGTATTAATAATTACTTTCTTGAACTGTCTACTGCAGGCTTTGACTGAGCGTCTTGGAGGTGAGACATATGTCTCATGTTCAGTGGTTTTACCTGCTTTCTGCCACCTGGATCACACCATGGAGGTCTTCGATGAAGACTCGAACTATATGGTCAAATTTAAGACCGCCTTCACAGAGGACCTACCCTAACGTGTAGCTGCACTCAACTGTCAGTGGCTCAAGATACCTACTGTGCTTGACCCACGCTTTAAGGATTTAAAGTGTCTTGAAAAGGGAGAGCGAGAAGAGGTGTAGACCTTTCCCATCCCCTGCTGCAGGAACAGTGTAAACAGTGGCGGTTCTTGATATGGGCGACATGGGCGGTTGCCCAGGATGGCAACGTGGCATCATGGCATCGGCGAAAAAAAAGTTACTCGCACCTATGCTGCCCCGATAGCATGCAAGTGCATTTTGCGGATTGCATAGGCACTGATTGTATTTCTATTATCCATTTGCGAGGAGTAAGGGCGCCCTCTGTTTGTGAGGTGCACCTGCTGCTTGCTGCACAGGTAGGAGAGGGGCGGGGCAGCGGGGGATTCTCTGGCTGGCTGGAGTGGCATCTAATAACTAAAATAAAACAAAATAAAAACAAACCAACAAACTAGGGCTGTCAGCGTTAACGCCATCAACACTATTAACACGATTAAAAATGTTAACTCAATTAATCCATATGGAGCGTAGAATGACTCAAAATCCCCGAAATTCCTCTGACAACGCATTTCAGGCAGTTCGTCCAAAGTTTGTCCATTTTGCACTCCAGATGGGTTGATTGCCTTAAATAGTTTAATCGCATTAATCGTGATGACGGTGTTAAAGCGTTAACGTTGACAGCCCTACAACAAACACAAAAACTGAAGACATTATGACAGGCCATCAGTTTGGAAAAAAAGGGTGAAGGGAGTATCTGCCATCAAACAGACAGCCGCATGTAACTACGACGGTGTTTGCTAGTTCACCTTACAAGCATTAATTTAATAACATGGTTAGCCTACTCAACGTAAATTACACACGAACAACATTAAGGTACTTGCCCAGAGAAGAACGGCTGCTGCTGCCATCATCATCCGTCATCATTTCTGCTACACTGGCAGGGCTAGGGGCCAGGACTCTCCTTTTCGGGTTCTTGGGGGATGTTGCTAACTCCGGGTCCGATAACAGGAGCACACCCACAGTAGATGTGCCCGGTGTGAGGTCTCACAGCAAGCTATCAAATATGGTGCTTTTCTCGGCTTTTAACAAAACGCTATGCGTTTCAACAGATTCGACAAAAAGCGTTTCAAGCGTGGAAGTACTGACCTTACTTTGAGTTTGATTCCATAAAAAGTGACAAAAACATTAGAGTCCGTTGTGCGTGGGAAGAAAACTTCTCTTTACGACGAAAAAAAACCCCTAAACTTCCAAGCAAGCACCGAGTACGCGACCACGTAATGGGAAATTCACAGAGAAACTCGTGGACTCTTCCACTGACCGCTGCGGCACACCTGCAC